CGGGGTAGGGGTCGGCCTAGGAAGGTTGGAGGGAGGGGGTAAAGGAGGTTTTGTGTGCGAGGGGCTTGGACTTCCAGCAGGCATGCGTGAGCGTGTTTTGATAGGAGTGAATGGAGACAAATGGTTTTTAATACTTGACGTGCTGTTGGAGTGTGAGCAAAGTAACATTTATGAAGGGATTCAGGGAAACCGGCAGGCCGGACTTGAGTCCTGGAGATGGGAAGTACAGTGCCTGCACTCTGAAGGAGGGGTGTTAATGTTGCAGTTTAAAAACTGTAGTGTAAAGGACCCTTCTGGCAAGACAGTGATGGAGTGAATGATGGTGAAAGTTTCTCTTTTTCGGGCCACCCTGCCTTGGTGGGAATCGGCCAGTGTGATAATAAAAATAATAAAAACATGTACTCATTGATAAGTTCTGTTTACTACATTGAGGAGTTACCACATGTCTCCATTAGTCCTAATTCGTCTCAGCTTCGTGTGACCAACTGTACCCTTCTAACTGTACCCACTCTGAGGCAGAGCTTCCTTTAGCTGCCTTCTCAGCATCTGCCTATTCATTTTCCAAGACACCATCATGACCCAGGTATCCACAGAACTACTCAACCTTGTGTTGCACACTGGGACTGGCGAACCACTCCTGAATCTTGTGGACCAAAGTGTATACAGAAGCATACTGAGCAAGGGCAAAGAGAACACTGGCCATTTGAAAAGACAGTAAACTGAAATCCAACTAAGCCAGCAATCAGGGGAAGACCAGTGACTATTGCGTGGAGCCTTCCAGTGAACAGAGAACACCTTTGTCAATTGTAGTCAGTAAATGTGCAAGGACTAGGAGAGAAAAGGCACTAGCAACATTCACTAGGAAATGAGAGAGTTTGAACTGACAAGAACGTAGTAATTCCTCGGTCGTCAAAGGTCTTTTCAAGGCCTGGGCCACGGGGGTGTTGACCCATGGAATACTCTGGATTGATAGGCTATACTACTCCATGCGATTCACTAGAAGTTTCACGTAGTGTCTGAATCTCCTACAGGTGTTACAAACCACCACAGAGTTGCAAGTGGTAGGAGAATAAAGGAGTGACAGAGTTCCCTGGAGTAAAATCTTTAATTCCCTTGAACAAAATCTAAGGAATGGGAAAAATCCCTGGTAGGTAAGTCAGATAAATGAGGGAGATAGTAAGGCAAGTCGCTCAAACCTCGTTACCACGTTAAAGTGACCCAATGTCACGGGCGTACATGTACGTGGTGTGCGTACACATTTGGTGGATGAACGGAAGTGGTGTATCAAGAGATAAAGTGAGCGAAAAATTTCATAGCCATACAGTTACAAACTGAATTGCAGAACAGAAGTCAGCACTGGAGAGTAGCCAGATAGAGGAGGGGGGGGGGGTTGAAGCACTCTCAACAAAAGCAGGTCTTGTTACCACTAAAATAGTTATTTTAGATGAAGATAAAGTATCATTTATCTCATCGGGACGTGGTTCTCTCGCTGTGAACCACATATGCAGCAGAGTGAGGGTACATACACTATGAAGACAACAGCAAACCTGACAGTGTATAAGTAAGGTTCTAGGTCAGGGAAAAGAGAATAACCACAGAACTTATAAACTAAATAATTCAGATCTTCATCACTCTGCGTAAAAGATTTTGGTTAGCAGTAACCTAAAACCAAGACAACAGTGCATAAAGATAATAGAATTCTTGGTTTCATATCAGAAAGTATAAGTATCAGGAGTCCTCAGGTTATACTTCAACTTGATATATCGTTGGTAAGGCCTCATTTAGAACATGGACCTGCTTCGCATGGGTCAGTAGGCCTGTTGCAGTGTTCCTTCTTTCTTATGTTTCTGGTAACGTATTATAGAATGGACATAAAAGCGCTGGAGAGCATACAGAGAAGGATAACAAAACTTTATAAATGGTTCAAAAATCCTACAAGTTGACAAATGAGACACTTGTGCAACACATGGGAATCTTTCTTGTTTAAACGTTTCGTCAATCGTCAACCAGTGGCTTCCTCAGTCCAGTACAGAGATGAATGGTGGAAGATGAGAAGAAGTTTGAAGTAATCAGTCCCTTAGCCTGGAGTCGATGTGCTCAGTCCATCAATTTGGATAAAAGTACAGCAAACGGGCGGTGTCACTATGAAAAAAATCACAGGTGGAAGTAGGTCATGCCTATAGGTTAGGCAAGCTTTGCCTCACCTGTCTGCTATTTTTAAGGCCCCTTCTCCGCACATCTGTTGTACTTTTGTCAAAACTGATGGACCGAGCACATCGACTCCTGGGACTGAGGGAACCACTGGTTGTCGAAAACGTTCACACAATAACATTCCCAAGTGTTACACAAGTGTCTCATTCGGTGACAAAGTTGATCCCATGTATCATATCCTTCCTGGGAGGACAGACTGAGGGCATTGAACCTGCATTCTGTAGAAAGGCGTAGAACTAGGAGTAATATGATTGAGGTGTATAAATGGAAGACAGGATAGATAGAAGGGAATATAAATAACGTGCTAAAAATACATAACCATGCAATGCATTCAAGTTCGAAAGAAATAGATTTGCAAAAAAAGTAAAAGAAAACACTGGTTTGGTAACAGTTGTAGATGAGTAGAACAAACTCCTGAGCAGTTTTAAAAATAAGTTAGACAAGTTAGATAAATTAGACACTGCAGCAGTCTTGCTGCAGTCTTCCTCCTTTCTCATCCTTTTAGGTATGAAAACGCAATATGCATAACAAGCTTCTGTAGAGACAACTTTTAGCTCATGTACGGCTTCATCAAGTCATGATTTCATGACTTGATAAAGCAAAACCTAGACCAGATAGAAGCTTGATCTGCATATCGTGTCTTCACACCCATGCCTGTCGGCAAGACGCTTGTACATCTTCAGGGGACATAAAAATACGAGGTTTATTTGAACAGATTACTATTACAAAGATGGAAGATTATAGATCTGTAGCACGTGGTTGTAAAACTAAGTCAGCAAAACAGAAAAGCAGTAGGGCAGAGCAAGGACAAGGCAAACACAGCAGAGGGAGATTTCTTTACCCATATATTCTTTCACCATTTATTTACAATATGTATAATGTTAATATATCAAGATATCTGAATATATAATTGTGCAACCAAGAGACACTCAAAGCAAGAGTGAACACAACAAGTGTTCGTGGAAGTCTGCCACCCAGCCAATTGTTCAGGTGTGACGTCACCTTGTCCGAAGTAGTGGGCTTCCACGTGATTTGTGGATCGAACAGTACAATAAACGCACCAGTGGGGGTCCCGGAACTGCGATACTCTGAATTACCATTGGTAGAGAGGGCATGCCAGCTGGTTGTGTTAATTATTTACCATGGAGGAGGATGGACTCCTTTAAATCTTTGCAGATAACACAGAACTGATGAGGAGGATATGAATCAAAGACTGTTGAAAGAAACATCAGAATGGCACAGAAAACCTGCAAGAAATTATTGGGCAAAACGCTATTAAGAGTCTGATGCTAAAAGGTCCAAATTAAGATAGAAGCCGGAGAAAAAAAGATAATGTATAATTCTAAAACGTTCCACAAGCTGATTATAACAAGTGGGTCATCAGATGAATGACCTATACCCAATTTTTTTGGCCTCCTCTTTATCAGCTTAAAATGTGACTCAGGAGCCAAGGAGAGAAAGATATTTCAAGATTTTCTTTTAGGAGGAGCACAAATCCGGGTAAATATGTAAAGTATTTCAAATATCTTAATGTTTTCCTGGTAATGCTTACCTGTCAACTGACAGGGTGGAATATATAAGAATACTCCCCGTCATTCGTGATGATACTAAGCATACTAATATCTGTATCATGAGTGATTTCGCTGTTGTTTCCGGTTCCAACATTGAGGAAATTACTGATGTATGTCGAGATAAGGACTCAAAACTGATATGGCCAAGTTCGTTCAGGACACCAATATATATCTGTATTAGAAATATAAACACATATGCAGTATAATGTGATCCTTTATTGACTACGTTTCGCCCACACAGTGGGCTTTTTCAAGTCACAAACAGGACTTGGAAAAAGCCCACTGTGTGGGCGAAACGTAGTCAATAAAGGATCACATTATACTGCATATGTGTTTATATTTCCATTGTGTCGGTATTTTATACCATTTATTTCCATATATCTGTATTAACTGGAGTTGTCTGGTAAAAATAATCTCACGGCTTTTTATTATACTGAATAATTGCCACTGAGAATATAAACATACAGAAGAAGCTTTTATTGGGGCTACGTTTCACTCAGCTAAATGTCGTTTTAACAAAATCCTGTTCCATGTTAGACCTCTACATTCAACGAAAAGCAAATCGCTAATGAAAGTCTCTCCTGATTATTTTTTACCAACTACAACAGTAAGTGGTTTATCGCTCCCAGTGTTATCAATCATCCTGCACCTGAGAGAATAAAATTCATTACTTAGTGTGGTTGGTACAGTAGAGGACGTTGAAATATCTGTCATTTGGGGGTCGACATTACTCTTCTATTACTTTGATTTAGAAAGTACAAAGTTTCTTAAGACCGGTCCTAGTACACATACAGAATCCCTTTAAATGCAACCTATGATAAGCGTCTAAAATCACCAGATATTTATTTTCTACTGGGTGCATGGATGTCTTGTCCTGCCTGAGCATTAAGTCCTATACATTTCATTTGTGAGCTGAACGTTTTAGATGTATAGAATTTGCTGAAATTACCAATGCAACGAGCAGCCTGTTCAACAATGAAGCAGCCGAGAGTAGTGGAAAAGCAAAAAGCGGTAGGGATGAAGCTAGTGAAAACAAGAGTTCATACATGGGTGGGACAGGACGGTAAGAGTTCACACAAGACATTGAGAGCTAGAGTTGAACTTCCGCAAACATAAATGGGGACGTGAATATGTGGTTTTGAACACTGACATAAAATGGGGACAATCAAATGGACATACATAAGGAATAATATACTATGAAATATCACTTTCACTTACCGAGGAAGACCAAGATGACAGTGGTAGTAGTGAGGGTTACCATGGTGACTGGTGGTGTGTTGAGTGGGGCGGTGGCTGTTGTAGGGGGAAGGAGGGGGGAGGAGGGGGAAGGAAGGGCAAGGGTGTGCTCAGCGAGTTTATAATAACTTTATCCAGATAGTTAAGTAGGGCAACAGTCTTGTACTTGAAGCTAGAGGGTAAAAGTACGTGTGTTATCCACCTTGTGGATCAGTTGTCCCACCTGCGGCCACCACACTTGAAACCAAGTGTCTTGAATCACGTGTTCTTGGACTCAACTTCTTCAGAGAGGGACTCAGTGCCTCGTAGAGATAACTTCTCAAGTCATTCACAGCAGAGAGATCTTGCAATGATACAAGCTTCCTGGGGAGGCGAATCTTATGCGAAAGTCAATCCTCTCTGTAAAATGTAAAATAAAAGAATTGTAGGAGTCACTGCATGACTACTCCGCTATGGACGGACACAAAGAAGACATCAAGATATCTCATGGAGAGGTAACGAGATATATTGTAACAGTAACAACTTAAAATATGGAGAGCTCACCGATGCGCAGATATGTTGCCGGAAACCTTTCCTATTTCTGCTGAAACTAGGACAAGACGATCAGACGTCACTTACTGTAACAGTCATAGTCAGACGTCACTCCCTGTAACCATCACAGACTTTACTCACTGTAGTGATCAGGACAGACGTCACTAATTGCAACACTGCAACGATCACTAAGAGCCCAGAAGAGTGTTCCTACACCCAGGTGAGGAGCTTGTGGGGTGCATGAGCACCCCGGTCTCCGGGACATTACTTGTTAGTGCTGCTGATAAGATAGTGAGATTATGAGAATGCCAGTGTTACTCATACTTCTATGGCTGTGTTTTTGAACTAGGGTGCCGCGGCACACTGTTGTACCTCTGACAGTACTCAAGAGTCACGCAAGATTATAAGTAATTTTGGCCTAGCTTCATTGTCTTAACTAAAACACCATAATTTTTTTTGACTAGTATTTGTTGTATAATTAACTACTACATAAAAGTTATAATTTTTTCGAACAGATGTCATTAAATGATAAACTATTATAGTATAATAGTTTATCATTTAATGCCATCATTAAAACGTGGCTATAAGCCAAGATGGCGACCAATCAGTTTAGACTGTGGGCAAATTTGTCAGTATAATATTTTTTTTTTTTTTTGTAAACTAGGAATCGTTGAAATTTTCATCAGATTGGACACTCTCTCTTGCAAAACACAATCATCTTTTTACATGACTGTAGATATTTTTAAAACTAATACATTTGCTTAAAAAAAATTAAAAAAATATTGTAAACGCGTATTGATTAATTTTCCAAGTTGAAAGAACCCTTAAATACTGCACGGCGTGATGCCAGAGCCCGTCATCTGTTACCTACAGTTACGGTTTTCGTTCATAACTTCAAAACGCCGTATCCAATGGGCTTCAAATCTCAAACCCTCGTCAACTATCACTAAGTGAAGGTTCGTACAACTGACACGTGCAAGTGCTCTCTGCTCAACTGAATATAGGACATTCCCGAAACTGATTTCTACGAGATTGCTTTCAAGATCCTCTCTTGACTGACTTCACAATTTCAGGTATCACAGAATGATTGACTTATTGTTATTGGTTGTATGTTCACAGGCACATGATGGTGATGATGGTGAGCATGGTGATTATAATGGTTGTGATGGCTGTAGTGATAGTGATGAGTACACTAATATACATTCATGCATTCGTACAAGAACACACACATTTGCATACATACATAAAAATATACACATGTACATTACACACTCACATTCATACAAACAATACAGACACATAATATGCAAAAGTGTACATATGGAAACATATGCACATAAATAAACCCATTTAAGCATATACACATTTCATTTACATACACAAGTGTAGAAATATTCATTCAAACATAAATATGTAATGTATATATACGAAGAAACATACCTAAAACGCATATATATATATATATATATATATATTATATATATATATATATATATATCCTAGGTAGTAGGTTGGTAGACAGCAACCACCCAGGGAGGTACTACCGTCCTGCTAAGTGAGTGCAAAAGGGAATCCTGTAATTGTTTTACATGATGGCAGGATTGTTGGTGTCCATTTTTCTGTATCATAAACATGCAAGATTTCAGGTACGTCCTGCTACTTCTTCTTACACTTAGGTCACACTACACATACATGTACAAGCACACACACACACAACACATATATATATATATATATATATATATATATATATATATATATATACACCCCTTTGGGTATTCTTCTATTTTCTTACTAGCTCTTGTTCTTGTTTATTTCCTGTTATCTCCATGGGGAAATGGAACAGAATTCTTCCTCCGTAAGGCATGCGTGTTGTAAGAGGCTACTAAAATGTTATGAGAAAGGGGCTAGTAACCTTTTCTCCTGTATAAATTACTAAATTTAAAAAGAGAAACTTTTGTTTTTCTTTTTGGGCCACCCTGCCTTGGTGGGATATGGCCGGTTTGTTGAAATAATATATATATATATATATATATATATATATATATATATATATATATATATATATATATATTTATATATATTATATATATATATATATATATTATATATATATATATATATATTATATATATATATATATATATATATATATATATATATATATATATATATATATGTCGTGCCGAATAGGCAGAACTTGCGATCTTGGCTTAAATAGCAACGTTCATTTTGCCATATAGGACAAGTGGAAATTTGTGTATGCAATAATTTCGCCAAAATCATTCTGAACCTAACGAAAAAAATATATTTCATTGTGTTTGTTTAGTATTAAATTATTGTAAACGTATCTAAAATATATTTAGTTGGGTTAGGCTAAAATAAATTGTCTTGTTATAACAAGGTTAGGTAAGTTTTCTAAGATTTTTTGGTGCAAAATTATAAAATTTTACATTAACATTAATGAAAAAAATATATCTTTATACTTACAAGAGAAAATTTTAGAAAGGACTTAATTTTAAATGAGTTCTTGCTAATTGACCAGTTTTACATATTCGGCAAGACACACATATATATATATATATATATATATATATATATATATATTATATATATATATATATATATATATATATATATATATTATATATATGCAAGGAATTCGCAAGAGCAGGCGAAATATACACAAACATTGATCTCTGGCTGAAGGAGACTCGAACCTACGAACTTTGGAACAAGGTGCGCAATGCTATACCAAACTCACCGCACTGGACCAATACCTTGGAGTCCAGCTTGCGCTAGACTTTGATCCAAGGCAGCCAGCTTTCAGGGAGAAGACTTACAGCTTTTCATCTCATCCCCTGCATGCATCAGCCTTACTAGAGATTTTAACAAAATCTCTAGTACAAAATCTCTAGTAAGGCTGATGCATGCAGGGGATGACATGAAAAGCTGTAAGTCTTCTCCCTGAAAGCTGGCTGCCTTGGATCAAAGTCTAGCGCAAGCTGGACTCCAAGGTATTGGTCCAGTGTGGTGAGTTTGGTATAGCACTGCGTACCTTGTTCCAAGGTTCGTAGGTTCGAGTCTTCTTCAGCCAGAGATCAATGTTATATATATGTATATATATATGTGTGTGTGTGTGTGTGTGTGTGTGTGTGTGTGTGTGTGTGTGTGTGTGTACATTCATGCCTGTGCGGAGTGAAGTGTACACATACACAGTTAAACATATGCATATATAAAAAAACTACGCATGTGCATAACAAAGGCACACAATTACTCGTACATACACACACATGTAGTGCATATAAACATATTAAAGTGCACACACGTACAGAAATTCGTATGCACAAACTTATACACATGTATACACGTGTGATATTTTATGAGCACTTTCCAATGTTCCTTCGGTATGCATTAGGTAGAGGAGGCTGGGCTTATGGAATATAGGGATACCTTTCCAGGATCGCGCAGCGAACAAAATACATCTAGTTGTTAAGTCCTAATGGGAGCGTTAAACCCGTAGTAATCGTACCGGGCCAGGGGACTGGAAGAAAATTCAGATTCATTCTAAGGAAATGGAAGGTAGCTCAAACTCTTTGGATCAAGAGCCTTCAACAGCATCAAAGTAACTCTATAAAATAATAAGCAATCAATTCAACATACACTCGGTGGCCACTGTACTAGGTACACTCTTCTAGTACTGAGTAGGTCCCCAACTTTCTCTCAGAACCTGAATTCTTCGTGGTATAGATTCTACAAGGTGCTGGAAACATTCCTTAGCGATCCTGGTCCATGCTAACATGATAGCATCACGCTATTACTGCAGAGTTGTCGGTTGCATATTCATGCTGCCAATCCATCGTTCCATCAGATCGCAAAGGTTTACACCAAATTCTGACCGAACCATTTGCACGTCGCAGCAGAAAACACGATTAGTCAGATCAGACGACGTTTATCTAATCTTCAACTGTCTAGTTTTGGTGAGCCTGTGCCCGTTGCAGCCTCAGTTTCTGTTTTTAACCACCCGGAGTGAAACCTGGTGTGGTCTTCTGTTGCTCTAGCCTATACTCTTCAAGGTTCGACGTGTTGTGCGTTTAGAGAGACTCTTATGCATTTCCCTGTTGTAACACGCGGTTATTTGAGTTACTGTCGCCTTCCTGTCAATGTGAACCCGTTTGTTCATTCTCTTCTGACCTCTCTTATTAACAATTACTGGGAACGCTTGAAGTTCCTCAACCTGTACTCCCTAGAATGCGGGCGGGAGAGATACATGATTATATACACTTGGAAACTCTTAGAAGGATTAGTACCAAGCTTGCACACGAAAAATCACTCCCTATGAAAGCAAAAGACTCGGCAGACGATGCAACATTCCCCCAATGAAAAGCAGGGTTGCCCCTAGCACGATAAGAGACAACACAATAAGTGTCAGGGGGTCAAGACTGTTCAATTCCCTCCCAGCATATATTAGGGGGATTGCCAATAGACCTCTGGCTGTCTTCAAGAAGGCACTGGACAGGTACCTAAAGTCAGTACCTGACCAGCCGGGCTGTGGCTCGAACGTCGGGTTGCGTGCGACCAACAATAACAGCCTGGTTGATCAGGCCCTGATCCACCATGAGGCCTGCTCACAGACCCGGCCGTGGGGGCATTGACCCCCGAAACCCTCTCTAGGTATACTCCAGGTATGGGGAAGAGCTAAACTCGTAAAAGGAGGAATTAAGTTCGAGCCAAGAAAATGAAAAATAGCTTTATTCCTTGGATCAGGATTCCTTTACTAGCATCAAAACGCTCCGTCTGATGGGCACCATAAATTATGAACCCGGATGTTCATTACAACCAATTGTTTACTTCTATATTGTAGCAACTTATCCAGGGAGGTAGCAACTTATCCAGGGAGGTAGCAACTTATCCAGGGAGGTAGCAACTTATCCAGGGAGGTACCACCGTCCTCACACAGGAGTGAAACAAAACTCAATTTGCACCATCACGTTACTTGAATTTTCTTTTGGTCTGATTACATTTATTATACATTTAACTGTAATTTTCCGAGTTTTTTTTTTTTGTGACATACAGTGGACCCTCGAATTTAGTCCTGCTATTTCGTTTCCAATTTAGGTGGCCTTGTTGGAGCCAGAGGGGCGATGATCCCAGAATCCAATAACAGAAAATTGTACATATAATCACTGCCCGAAATGCACCGCATGTTAGTGGCTTTCTTTGTTGCCTAACAATATTTTATTGCAAATAAACTACATTAC